TCAGAAGCCACGGCTAGGATATTGGCACCCTATGATGTGAGGGTGGCACATAACCCCAACCAGACGCTGCGATCTAAGGTGATGAGATTGAAAGATCCACTACCCACCACAGAGAAGTCCAATGTCATTTACAGGATCAACTGTGAAGGTTGCTCTGCTAATTACGTGGGGGAGACCTCCAAACGTGTCAAAACTAGAATTCACGAGCATAAGTTGGCGGTAAGGAGAGGCGACCAGTATTCCCAAATCGGGGTGCATATGCTAGAATCTGGGCATAGGTTCAATTTTAGCAACGTGCAGGTGATGGCTAGTGACAGCACGAAGGGGGGCCGGCTCCTTAAAGAGGCGTGGCTCTCTAATGAAGAATCCATCAACAGACATGTGGACCTATGCCCAGCACATGTAATATTAAGAGCATGGGCAATGCGTGACCGTCCCTCCGGAGAAAAACGATGTAACATTACGTGCCTTCGGCAAAGAGGGTTGACGGAGGAGACGAGCCTTGGAAACACCCAGACAGGGAATAACCAGCAGCAGAGTAACTCTCCACCTGCTGAAACATATGCCCCTCCCTCATGGATACAGGAGTGGATTGACAACCAAGAGCCAAGTGCCGATGAATTGAGGGTCTCCCCGGGAACAGCGAGGAGTTTGACAAAAAAGCGATCTGGTATAGACTTTGGGTTATTAAACAATCATGATTCGAAGGATTGGAGTGCCACGTGTAATTCCACCGGCGATCCTGCGACTAACTTTACTAATGACATTTCCCATTTGAATTGTTATTGCCTTGGGAATGCAGGAGAACAACGGGGAGATGAGAAGCCTGTTCGCTATAATCTTAGAGCTTCCACACGCTCCTACAGACATTTGAGAGGTACGACTCCCCGTAGGAATGCACAAGGAGATGCAAGTCACGACTGTAAGGATTCCGCCCCTCTCCTTTTAAGGAAGATTGCATACCCCCAAGTAATGAGTGAATACACGAACAACAGTGAAGGGACAGCTCCCTCGGAAAAAGGGGTCAGCAATCAATTTGTGGGTGCCACGAATTCTGGAGAGGGTGTTAAAATCACCCCCACTGAAGAGAAAATAGAAAGGGGAGTTAATAAAGTGATACGAAGGATCGGGAAACAGGATGATGTAAACACAATGGAATCATGGGCTACAGAGACAAACAATGAGGGTATAGTTTTGAAAGAGGATCGTAAACAGAGAAACAGGGGGAGGAGAAGAGAAATAGAGAGTACCAAGAAGGAGGATGAGGTGAATAAACAACATAAACACAGACAGTGCACATCTAATTACGTGGAATTAAGGAGTCCCCCCGATTTACAGTTATGCAAAGAAGGGAGGAAGAGCTGCGGTACCAGCATAAGTAAGGAAAGTGAGGAAATTACAGCTTGCAACACAGAAACTACGATCAAAACGCAGGTGGATTGGCTGGGACTGGAGACTATCCTGATGATGCTGGCAGATGCCAGCGAAAGCTTGGTTTTATTCTGGTTTTATTAAAACTTTTTATAGTTTTATAACTTCCTGGTGTTCGTATATTTTATTGTTTAATATGAGTCTACCCAGGAATCACTGTTTTGTTTTTAATATTCTTAACAATATATATATATATATATATATATATATATATATATATATATATATATATGTAGGTCTTTGGTTGTTCGGGTTTTCTCCCACGTAAAATTGGAAGTGTCTTGGCGACGTTTCGACGAAGTCCCATTCGTCATCTTCAGGCTGGTGTTTTCAGCTTCGTGCTTCGAGGAGCAATGTGTGGTCTTAGCTGTTTCTTCCTTTTAACTGCCAGTGGGGTATGAACTGATTGGGTGGGAGCTTGGCTGTGTTCTGATTGGGTGGAGGTGTGTTCTGATTGGTTAGGGGCTTGGCTGTGCTCTGATTGGCTGGGGGTTGGCTGTGCTCTGATTGGCTGGGGGGTTGGCTGTGCTCTGATTGGCTGGGGGAGTGTTCTGTTTGGTTGTGCTCAGGTTAGTCTGAGTTGCAGAGGGATTCAAGATTTTGGGCTGCCCTGCCATTCCTTGGCTTCGTGTTCGTGGTCGTGCTTCCTCTTCATGGAGGGTGTCAGTTTGCTTCATGTATGGATTGGGGGGGTTTAAAGTGGCTAATGATGCAGCTGTGGTCTGGCTTCTGGTTTGTGGTCGTGCCTCATAGTCAGTGTGGCTTTGGGTTTGTTTTTTGCGTGGATGTTTGGTGGTGACATCCTGTGTGGTTTTTGTGAGTGTGGGTCTGGTATCATTTTTTGTGTTAGGGAGTCGTTTGTCAATGAGGGCGGGTTTCCAAATGGCTGGTAGGCGGGAGGTATCATCTCGCTTGTTCATGCTGTGTGGGCGTTTTTCTATCTCGATGGCTTCTCTGATTATTCTGTTATTAAAATGTTCACTTTTGGCAATGGTTCTGGTATTTTTAAAGTCAATTTCATGTCCTGTGGCTTTAAGGTGTTGGACCAGGGAAGATGTTGGTTCCTCTTTTTTGACTGAGTTCTTATGTTCTTCAATGCGTGCACTTATTCTTCTGTTGGTTTGTCCGATGTATGTGGTGGGACAAGTGGTGCATGGGATTTCGTATACTCCTTGATTTTCTAATTCAATTTTATCTTTGGGGTTTCTAAGGATGGTGGATATTTTTCTGTTTGTGCAGAATGCTGTTTTGATGTTGTGTTTATGGAGGATCTTACTGATTCTGATTACAAACCTAATCCAAAAAGAAACCCCCACTAAAATCCAAGACAAAGAACAAGAAAACGGCAAAGCCATCCTCCCATACATAAAAGGCATCACAGACAGAATCAGTAAGATCCTCCATAAACACAACATCAAAACAGCATTCTGCACAAACAGAAAAATATCCACCATCCTTAGAAACCCCAAAGATAAAATTGAATTAGAAAATCAAGGAGTATACGAAATCCCATGCACCACTTGTCCCACCACATACATCGGACAAACCAACAGAAGAATAAGTGCACGCATTGAAGAACATAAGAACTCAGTCAAAAAAGAGGAACCAACATCTTCCCTGGTCCAACACCTTAAAGCCACAGGACATGAAATTGACTTTAAAAATACCAGAACCATTGCCAAAAGTGAACATTTTAATAACAGAATAATCAGAGAAGCCATCGAGATAGAAAAACGCCCACACAGCATGAACAAGCGAGATGATACCTCCCGCCTACCAGCCATTTGGAAACCCGCCCTCATTGACAAACGACTCCCTAACACAAAAAATGATACCAGACCCACACTCACAAAAACCACACAGGATGTCACCACCAAACATCCACGCAAAAAACAAACCCAAAGCCACACTGACTATGAGGCACGACCACAAACCAGAAGCCAGACCACAGCTGCATCATTAGCCACTTTAAACCCCCCCAATCCATACATGAAGCAAACTGACACCCTCCATGAAGAGGAAGCACGACCACGAACACGAAGCCAAGGAAGGGCAGGGCAGCCCAAAATCTTGAATCCCTCTGCAACTCAGACTAACCTGAGCACAACCAAACAGAACACTCCCCCAGCCAATCAGAGCACAGCCAATCAGAGCACAGCCAACCCCCCAGCCAATCAGAGCACAGCCAAGCCCCTAACCAATCAGAACACACCTCCACCCAATCAGAACACAGCCAAGCTCCCACCCAATCAGTTCATACCTCCACTGGCAGTTAAAAGGAAGAAACAGCCAAGACCACACACTGCAGCTCGAGGCACGAAGCTGAAAGCACCAGCCTGAAGATGACGAATGGGACTTCGTCGAAACGTCGCCAAGACACTTCCAATTTTACGTGGGAGAAAACCCGAACAACCAAAGACCTACATACAAATACCCGCGAAAACCTCAGAAAACATATATATATATATATATATATATATATATATATATATATATATATATATATATATATATATATAGTGTGTGTGTGTGTGTGTGTGTGTGTGTGTGTGTGTGTATGGAAATAATGTAGATCAAGACAGAGATAGTGATAGAGATGGATATAGATATTTTCTCTCTCCATATATAAATACATTTATACACATAAACACTCTAGCCACTCTTCGTTTTGCTGGGCAGGATAATTTCAAAATCAAGCTCATCTTTTTTGTTAAATACAGGTGGGTCCTCTTTTAGTGACTGCCTCATTTAGTGACTTCACAGTTACGATGCTGATGAAAAAGTAACTTTATGACCCATCTTCACATTTTCAGCCTTTGCAGGTCTGTAAAGCAAAGGAAAGCTGAAATTTTGAAGAATGTAAGTTCATAAGCAGAATGGCTGTTTCACTTAGTGACCACTTTGCTTAACAACTAAGTTGCCAGTCTCAATTGTGGTCCCTAAGTTGCCAGTCTCAATTGTGGTCCCACCTCTATGTTCCATCCCGTACTTTAAGATACTACTTTTAAAGCAGACTATAAATTTTTGCCACAGGGTGTCACTGTTGATTTAATTATTGAGTTTATGTTTATGGAAAAATAAAAACACTATATAGGTTCGCAGGAAGGCCAGGAGTAATGTTGTCCATGGGGTAGCGATGGGTCGGTCATGACTTCGCAACTAACAACAACAACAATAGGTTGATAATTTCATCAAAAATACATTATTTTTTCACAAGGACCAGGACCATACATTAAGTTGCAGTTCAAAGATTTATTGCTCAAGCCTGTACACAAGAATCTAGTCAACTAAGTTCAATATTAAATTGGCACCAGATAAGATTCAACAGAATTGAAGAAGTGTTGAACTTAGTTCACTTGTGGCAACATACCATTTCTATGCTGATGACCCACTTGATTCTGCCCCCCCCAGCTCTGCCTTTCTCTACGTCTTCAAAAAAATATTATATGCATGAAGCTATTTTGTTGGCATCCAAGTACATCTGCCTGATCCCAAGAGCCTCTCATGCTATATATTATGTTTGCAAACTACCATTTAAAATTGCCAAAATGTTTTAGAATAACGCTGTGTTTTTAGTTTTATTTCACTTTATTTCTTTTTAGTTTAAAAGAGCACAGAATATAAAGCAAAGTACCAAGATACAGAATACTGACAAAATTAAACTAAACATCCATAAAAATAAAAACTATAAAAAAGAGGAAAAAAAGAAGAGTGAAAAAAGGAAACAACAAACCTATCATACATTAAACTGACAATTGGCTAGTGCTTTACACAAATACCATATATTATAATATTATTATAAAACATTATAACATTTATGCCATAGAAAAAGATATTTCTTCATCCTTTTACTAGTAGAACATTTTGTCTTTTCTGAAACAGATATATTTTCAGAATTCTAAAAGTCAATCTTTAATGTCTGTAGTAAAGTCACTGTTCCAATTTCTCAATATTATCCTTTTAGCTACCCACCCCCCACATACATAACATAATCCTTTTTACATCTCCCACAGAGACAATCTCAAGTACGTCCTTTGGGGAGTCCAATACACTCTAAATATTTTTTTGATGAATCAGCTTCAGTCTGAAATTAATCAATACCATTTTAACATCTTTAAGAACATGAAGCCATTGATGGGGCATTATCAGTGTATCTAATCCTTTGGTTTATGTTTGATATATCCCACTATTATTCACTTAAAAATGTTCTTCAACTTTTGATAAAGAGATATTATGGTTTCTGTTATGGATTCCATCAACTGCAGCATCTCAGATACCTTTGAAGTAGCCAAAGTATCTAATCTATATTGAGTTTTAAAATATGCTTAAATTGAAAATACTGCAAATATTCTGAAATACTTGGTCATCCTATTTCAGATGAAAAAAGATATTCCATCCTCTCTGACATGAGATTCTTGCAAAAATATAACATCAGATATTTAAAGAGCTAGGTAGAATCCTTCTATGTTTAAGGATGTTTTACATTTCGCTCACATTCCAACTTAATATCCTTAAATTTAGCATATGAAAAATTTAAATACAATATAATTATGTATAGAAACCATAGAAAGTAAGCTGCCCTTGAAAGCATTAAAAAGTAGCATTATGGATATAAAGATAAATAATATATGGCTACAAAGAATTATTATGAAAATAATCCAACCAGGAACAAAAGAAACTGTACCTAGAATTAAAAACATAAAACAAAAATACTTACACAAAAAGAAATTAAACCAACAAAATAAATAAAAACAATGACTTCCACAGAGAACAAGTTCACTACCTCAACCACCTTAGCTCCTATTCTCCTATCCACCCTTTTAAATAAAAATAAAAATTAACAACTGTGTGCTTAAAACAAGGCCCAGCAGAGGGCAATGCTGACTAACTCAAAACAAAACAATGCACCTACCTAAGGAAGTGTGGTCATTTCAAGATAGCAAGATTCAGTCAATGCACAGTCAAAAATGTCAGTGCTGGTCAGGGACCCATAAAGTGCTTGATTTAATCAGAGATGGTCAGACAGAAAATTGCAAAAAACAAGGAAAAAAAACATTGATTTTCTTTAGTCAAAGAAGTGGAGCAGCAGTCCTTCCTGAAAGAGACTGAAGCAGGTGAAATATTGGAGAAGATTTAAATTTTATGCCATTTAAAGTTGTGAATAGATATCATGAATTGCCACACCACAAAACTTGATGATAATCTGAAGATTCATGGGAAAAAGAGATAATGTAAAATGAGAAAGATGCTGGAGGAACTCCAAAAGGGCTTTGAGAAAGTGAAACAAATATTTGCTGACTAATTCTATTGGCTTGTGTAGTGTGCTGTCTGGACAAGCATGGATCAGGGAATGAGAGGACAATTTTTAACACTTAACAGGTCCATGGCACTGTTCCCCTTTTTTGGTCTATTTGGAGAGTAATGATTTGAAGTCATGACAAGTTTTAGGATGTGGGTTTATTAAATACATATTTTCATTTCCAGCCTTGAAAACAGGCAGGCACATTTGGTCTATAATAGGTAAGCTGTAACATTTTGACTCTGAATCACCAGAGAAACTGACTTTGTAGAATAATCTAAAATATGAAAATAATTTAATTGTTTATTGGAATACTTGGGCTAAGCAAGGGATCAATATATTAAATCAGACAATTTCTTATAGTTCTTTTAAAGACTTCAAAAATTGCATGTTGAACATGACTACACTTGGCCTTAGACAATCAAAACATGTAGAATCTAAATGGTATTGCCTGGATACATTTTTAGGTTAAATCAGAGGTCTTCAAACCTGGCCCTTTTATGACTTGTGGACTTCAACTCCCAGAATTCTTCAGCCAGTGTGGCTGGTTGAGGAATTCTGGGAGTTGAAGTCCACAAGTCATAAAAGGGCCAAGTTTGAAGACCCCTGGATTAAATCAACAGAAGCATAATTTTTAAACAGCAGAAGGCAATACTTTATTTTGCTGAGGTCAGATTAATATCAACTACAGTGTCCCATTCTGAACATCTCACTTTAAAATGAATTTCAGAGAACCTGGGACAGGTTCAGAACATGGCAAGGAAGATAATCAAGAGACCATAAATTTTATAAAGAAAGGTAATCAGAGATGGGTTTGAGAAAAGGCACGAATGCATAATGTTTTTATAATTTAACCAGTGGACAAAACACATAGATAAGTAGTTGCCCTTTACATTCATCTGAGTATTCTAATTTTTGGTTAGATTTAAGTTTTATATCTGCATATTTTTCTGAAATTAAGGAAAATACAAAATACCACAACTTATGTACTCAGTACATCTGAATTCCTCTGAAACAATGTTGGGGACTGCCAAAAGTTCATGCCCCTGCTGCCACTGGCATCTTTAAGAACCAAACTATCATATTCAGTAACTGGATTCACCTATCATAATATATCATGAATTGTTTAACAGATTTGCTTGAATAAGGAATGATTGGCTAGACTCATGCATATATTAAATCACAATGAAGCAAGCTACATTATGGCTTAATATAGCACATAGCTGCAATAATTCTAAATAATGTTAATTTTGTGTGACTGTTTTTACACCTGTAAATAGCTCTCATGAGAAGTAAAAACATTATTGAAACAACAGGAATTTGGGAAGATGAGTTTAATCTTTATCCCTCATGACCTGTTACAGTGAAAATCACCTCTGGGAGATGTTACTTGAATTACAAGAAAAACTCCAATTTACAGCAGTGAAACGTCTTCCAATATAAAGAAAAGCTTAGTATGAAGGAATAATTTTCAGCCTTATCAAAAGAAAAGGTAGTACATCTGATCCAGTACAACATGGTCCAGTCCTGGTTTCTTCCACTTCAGCTGTGATTTGCACTTGTAAAAATATCCACTTAATCTAAGGGACACACAAGATGCCAAAATATTATTTGGCTGTGTGCATCTTATAAAAATTACACTATGGCCTCCTTTCATTTTGATTTCTAATGAGGGACTGGTTGTTCCATTTGACTTTCATTCAAAACAATCATAAAAACAAAAGAAAATCCCTTTATTTTTTCTATTTAATTCTAAGAAAATATATACCATAGCTAATTTAATTCAAGCTGTCTTAACTGACATGTCTTTCAATAACCAAAACCATACATTTTCCTTAATTCAGAATTTATACAGATATTGAAGATAAATATAAAAACCTTTCTTTTCTGGAATGTCCCTCTGTGTCTAATAATTAGAATAAAGTTTGCAGGAAGACTGTTTGTGAAATTATATTTTATGCTTGAAACTGAAGAAGCTAAAATGCCTTTGTTTTGCATTGACTTGGGACCACAGATCCCAAAAGTGCTTTCAAATTCAAAACAAATATTTTACATGTAATAAATGATGATCTATTACTTCCCAAACATCTATAATGCATCCAAAAGCATTAGTCCAAATTATAAAGCCTTGTTGAGGATGTAACTGGCGATTAACTTGACTGCTAGCATTATTTCCTGGCATGTTGGCTTGATTTGGGATTCAGGGAGAAGGAATCCATATTTGCCTTTATCACGAAGCTCAAAGGTGAAGGAGTATTTGATCCCCTGGTTGAATACCCAGTCATCGGAACAACCAGAAGAAAGATCTGTAAAGCAAGGCACAACAAATAGAATGACAGGAAACATAGCAGGGAAAAAAAGAGAAAGAAAAACAAAATAATAAAAGTGAAGGTAAGATACTGGTGTTTGAATAACTTTAAGAGGGGGAGACTGTTATTCACTTGTAGAAGTCATGAGGAAAGTCAAATGTTTAAGATCAGTTATTTCCATTTTAAAAATAGGACCAGGAATCATAAGTTATGAAAGCCCTCTCACAACTTGGAAAGCTGCTACCAGTAATAAAAATGGAGGTAGATGGAAAAACAGTTTATGTAGAATGCTATAGGAATTCTATGAAACTGTGGTGGAGCAGTGGTTAGAATGCAGTTCTGCAGGCCAATTCTGCCAACTGCCACCAGTTTGATCCTGACTGGCTCAAGATTGACTCGACCTTCCATCCTTCCAAGGACCATAAAATGAGGACCCAGATTGTTAGGGGCAATATGCTGATTCTGTAAACCATTTAGAGAGTGCTTTAAAGTACTATGAAGTGGTGTATAAGTCTGATTACTAGTCTATTGCTATGGCTCAGTTTCCTGCTTCTTTTCTAAAAGGAGAAAAACAAACACATTCCTGAAATCAGAGATGTGGGATTGATCTATTATTAATCTCTTTGAGATATCATCAATTTAAACTCATGGAATTTTATGCATTCACGGGCTATCTCCATTTTCACTCACATCTGTTTTAGCCATCTTGATCTGTCTTTCCTCTCTCCATTCCCTATATAGGGCCCTCACAACAAGTCAAAGATGAGCTCTTTTCAGGATCCCTAAACCTTTGGATATTCTTATTTGTCACTTTTTTGGTGGCTTCATTTGCACATACTTACAAGAGAGATTGCATTGGGTTTATGGGAATATGCAAACACTCAACAGCTCATTTATGTTATAGATGGTACAGTTAGTCCTCAGTAAATGACCGTAATTGAGACTGCTAACTCCATTGCTAAGGTTGGAAAGTGAAAAATCATGTGCCAACTTAAATTGGCAGTTCTGGTTGTAGTTATTTAGTGAATTGTACACTATCATTAAGCACAATGTCAAGTGACTGCAACTTACTGCAACTTACAACTATTTGCCTTCTTCTCCATTCACTGTGCCTATTGGAAGCTGGCAGTGAAAGTTGCAAGTGGTAATCTCTGATTGCAGCGATGCTGCAATGGAAGCAACTTCAAGGACCGGCCATAGGTTTCCTTCACTGTTGTGACTTTAAATGATTCCTTGAACAAATAATCATTAACCAAGGATTACCTGTATTTTCCACAAGTGCTGCATCTCCATGCTACTGTTTTTTTCTTCTAAGCAGAGGAAGAAAGCCCTATCACAGTGATGGCGAACCTTTTAGAGACCGAGGGCCCAAACTGCAACTCAAAACCCACTTATGAATCGTCGAGTGCGGGTGGGCGTGGCCCATTGGGTGGGCATGGCTGCGGTGGTAACGGCAGACTGGCTGGGACTAAAAAGTTCAATCAATCAATTTCAACTTTGCAAGATCTTTTTTTTTCCCGCAAGAAGTTGAAATTGACTGATTGAACCTTTTTTTTTTTTTTTGCACATGGTGGCGGAGACCTAAAGCGAAAAGGTTTTATTAAACCCAGCTGAAGGCCTAGGACTGGGGTGACGGTGCACGTGCCCACAGAGAGGGCTCTGAGTGCCGCCTCTGGCACCCGTGCCATAGGTTCGCCACCACTGCCCTATCACTATCCAGCATGACTTATAAAGGATGTAATATGTCTTTTAACAATGTGTAAAATACGTACAGATAGTAGATGCTGATGTTCCATACTTATACACTTTACCATATAGGCTGGCTATAGCTTTGACAGCTCTTTTTGCAAGTTCATTCTAGTATCAAACAAAGAAGAAACCAGCATCAATTGGAGCAAAATATGTACATATGTCTTAAAAGTAAGCTTCCTATATGCTTTTTTGAGCCACAGAATCTAGGATACCCGGAGGAATTTTGCTTACCTCAATTGTGTTTCACTGAGTTTTTCATCTTATTGACATCATCTGGGCATTTCCATTGCTTACAAATTCAGCAAAAAATTCACACAAATGTTCATATGAATTATTCTAATTTTAGCTTGTTCTAGTAATGTGCAGTTCTAATGTTCCTAGGGTGCAATTTTTATAAGAACATTTTGAATTATATCAAAATTCTGAGAAATGCAGATTTCAAGCAGCTTGTACATTCTGGATCTTATTATATATTTGGCAGGTCTAAAAGTGCCATATGTGATTAAAAATTCTGATGGATAAGATTTTGGGGATTAAACTTCCAGGACAAAGAAGTAAATTAGGGGCAGGGCAAAAATCAACCTTGATTTAATTTATTGATAGGTAATTAAAACTATGTCCCTATAATCAATTGCCATTTATTAAAATACTCTTCTTTCATCACATTCAATTTAACAATTTGGTATTAATTTTTGATGGGAATGATAAGCCACATGAAATCCTACGATTTCTGGATGTGGATCTCTTTGATTGATACATGAGAAAAATGGTGATAGGATTTCATCTCAAGATTGCTAGAGAATTGTGTTGATTGAGCACAAAGAAGACAGACTCAAATTAGAAATTTTAGGAAATGGGACAATTGCAATGCCTTCATACCAATTCATTATAATTTGCTGTCTTCTCATAGGTATAACCAAAAGGGAACAATATCATCTGAGAGTAGGAATGCATGGTGAGGTAGCCCTTGATTGAAGAAAGATGGCTACGGATGAATGAAGCAACTGCTTTAGTTTCTGGTTCAGATTCTGGTGCAGATCCACAATATATTTCTTCACAGGGATTTCTGGAAGCATCAGCAGCTGTCAGTGGAAACAAAACTTACATTTTATTGCACAGTTAAGTTGATCCTGGTTAGCATAGACAATGTTTATGATAAATGTTTATTTGTTTCGTTTGAATCAGGACATTTCCACTTAGCATGTTAATTTGATTAATAGAAATAAACCATTTAAGCATGTTCAAATAACTCATAGCTTTGACTGCACAGGGTTTTGGGTTTTTTTCTCAAGTGTGGGGGAAATTTAAAAATAAAAATATATATGCTTTTAGTATTATCATGTAATCATATTTTATATTTTATAATTATCATTGTATAATCAATTGCCTGAGTAGATGCTTTGAGTATATAGGGAATATACAAGCCTCAGGTGGAGGAAGGGGGGAGAACAGGAGTTACCATGGGGCCCAGCGTGAGTCACCATCTAGGAATTGATTTTAAGTACCTTTTGGTGCCTGGTACCCCTACTGGATCTAACAGGTGTAGAAGATGGGAGACATCTCTCCTCTAGAATTGATATAGGATAGTAGGAGAGGGATCTTATTAGTATAATGTATTCTGTTTAGGCGCTTCTGATAGATTATAACCTCTAAAGCCTAAGCCAATGGGGCCATGGGGAAGGGAATGGGGCATCGCGATAGGATGTATAATAATATCTGATTTTGGAATTTGGGGTGTGGTTCAGTGCTTGGCTACATTGCATTGCCTTCCTGAATCCACCACGCTTTGCAAACCGTTATTTTTTTAGACTTGGATGTGAAGTCTAATAAACTTCTTTTCTATTTGTAACTCAGAGTGGATTTCAATTTGTGACTATTTTTGTGTCTAACACAAGTTTATTCAAAAGTAGGTCCCAATGTATTCAGTAGGGATTACTAGTAAATGTCCATAGGAATACACTCTAGAGATAGTTTAAATATTATACAAAAATGTAACCCTTGACAATTATTATACTAGATTACTTAATAGCATACAATTTCCATATATTATTATATATATAATAGATAGAAGCTTACTACTTTTTTCCCCCTAGCATTATCACACAAGCATAGGCTCCACTTGCTTTTGGACCAATAGAGTGTTCACCCATTGGTTGCAACAAGAATTGACTGATTGGCTTGCTACCTGAACCTCCTTTCATGGGCTGAGAGAGAGTGACTGGCCCTTAGTTACCTAACTTCATGCCTAAAGCACACACAGCCTCCGGGTGCATTAACCCTAGACTAAACTGGGTATCACTTGGACATACATGTTCACACAGATAAGTACTTCATAGCTATAATCAACTTGAAAAAAGTCACTTCCCAAGGCCTAGCTGGATTTTTATAACGCTTAATCATTATGTACACTAATGTTTCAATATGAAACAATGCTTTTTAATAATGGATTTTTAGTCTTCAAGGAAATCTTGTAATTGAAATTTGATGCCATACATCAGTGAAAGATTTTTCAGAAATTGCAAATTACACCTAGAGAAATAGCTTGTATAGTATAAAAATAAAATACTATCTTAATCAGTCAGAAAAGATTTAAAACACATGTAAACATATACAATAAAAGCATGAAAAAATGGAGAAAGGAAAGGATTTATTTCCTTTTAAATGGAAGCCTGAACACTACAATTTTGATGGCAAGTTACATTGCTAAATTTTGGAGACAAATTGCAATAGGGTTCTGGGGAGTGTACAATGCTACCTTATCTTCTTTACATAAATAAACTAAAATGGAAGAATAAAAGACCAGAGTTTTGTACTTCCCACAGTAGTTAAGAAATGAGTGTCAATACTGATGTGATGTATCGTGCTATGGTAACCAATATTAAAGCAGTTTCTTCCATTGTTTAGGGTTTGGTATGGAGATCACAACAGTTATATAGGAAAACAGAAAGTGTAACATTTTATAATATTTTTCATTTCCCCCAAAGCTTCTACAATCTTTAATGGAGGATCTCTTATACTTGAGTTAGAGTCATTCCTAGCTACATAAAATTAAACTTTCTCCACCATCTTTTTTCAATGATTTTAGTTAATAAGCTTATTTGTCTATAAAGACCAGGTCTAAAACTCTATCATGATCCTAACCCTTTCCAATGTTGTTTTATAACTTAACTTACTGCTATTAAGAGCAAAGAGTTAATGTTTTACTGTTTACAATTTATTCTCCACAGTAAATATAGTTTTACTTGTAGTATATGCTTAATATGGTGATTTTATTATCAGTCCTATTTGAGGAATTGTATCCAAAATGTATGTATTACTTTATAAGAGTAACAAAAATGAATGACTTCCAGTTCTGGTTCGTGGCATCCCTAGTTGCATGGGGAGACTCGTCTCCTCGTTGGCTAGCCTTCCCTCCACCGGTAGACCCTAGAGGGTGCGACTTCTGTCGAGGAGGCTCTGCTCAGCTGCTAAGGAGTGGCGGCTCCTTCAGCTGTCCGAGCTATCTCTGAGGGCCGATGGAGAAGAAGATCGGCCAGTAAAATGGCCGATCACCCTGCTGCTTCAAACCGCAAGTCAAAGAACATCTAAGCTGTAAGAACCCCCATGGTGAATCCAGGTGAGATTTTTCTTTGCTATTTTCTCTATTTTATTTTGTTTTTGGTACCTGTAAGAGCCTTGTTGGAATTATTTCCCTGGCTTGAAAAGGCAGCTTCTACATTCTTTGGGAAGAAAGGCGTTCTATAAAAATAGAACAAAATTTTAAAGACTATATTTTATTTTTATATTTTTTGGGGTACAGAATTTTTTTTTTCCTTTTCCTCTCTTTCTAAGAACTGTACTATTATCCTATGCTGGAAGATTATTTCTTTTTTCACATTATACTTTAAAAGATAGAAAAAAGGAAATGGTGTCTGGAAAAGACCTTTTAAAATTTACTGAGGACATCTAATGGCAAAAATTTAATACTGCAATTTCTGGTTACTTTTGAAGATGGAACAGACCTGACCTTCAAAATACTTTTGAAGAGAAAAGATAAGCTGTGCAGCTGTGGGAACTGTGGGGGTGGATATTGCCTAATTTATATCAAATATAGCCTCCACAAAAAAAGAAAAAAGAGACTCTTTTTAATCACTATCAAAATGGAGAAACCTCAGTCACAATTAAACTGTACACTTATATTGGAAAAGATTTATGAGGCTACTTCAGAAATATGTGCTACAATGAAAGAGTTTACTACAGAACTAAGATCCAGAAATTTCACTTCAAACGTTCAAATGGATGTCCAGGCTACATCTGACTATGGTATAAATCAAAACATACTAGAAGAGGAATCAACAGAGATAAAAGAGGAACTTATTCTATCTTACAAACCTTCCATCTGCAACTTAGAAGAACAGAAGAAGCAAAGACTGAGATTTCAAACTACAAAGCAACGAAGCTTCAAGGAGGAGAGAAATAGATATCTAATGCAGAGGATGGGATTTCTATCCTTTCAAAGGCTACTGCAAGCAACAAAAATAGATCTACTGGCTGAAAGGGAAGTGTCTTTATGGAAACCTGCCTGGCACAGAAAAAAAGCCAGAATTAGACTGAAAAGAGAAATTTAAAATTGTGTAATGGATTAAAAGACAATGTTGGATTGTTTTAAGGATTATGATTTAGAGTTAGAAGCAAGAAAAAATATAAATATATATATATACGAGGGTGTTTTTTAGAACAGATATTTTAAATAGATTAAGAATGTACTTTTTGGAATAATAGATTTATTTTGATGAAAATTATGTATTGGAATTGAAAAAATGTTGATTTTTTAGATTGGGATGGTTTTAATAATTAATGGAGTGTTTTAAATTAGTTAGATGATCTTTTTGTACAATAACATAAGATGTGATAAATTGGATGAAATTTGAAGTTTGTGTAATGAATTGAAATGAATTAAGGTTTAACATTGTTTTTTAACTAAGATAGCTATTGTGTAGTGGAAGAAGAAATAAATGAGATTGGTAATAAAAGGAGGGATGAGAGAGATTAAGAATAGAATACATCTGGAAGGGATACCTGAATTGATAACTTGTTGATTTAAAGTTAAATTTGATTATGGTAATTGTAAACTGATAAAATTTTAAAACAGGTTTAGTAGTAATAGAAATTTAATTTAGAAATGGAATATTTTAAACGTATTATGTTATTTGAGGGAAATAGAGAGGGGACAATGAATGTATTAAGTTGAGTTGTTTATTTATGTTTTTACTTTTGAATGTCTGATTACCCAAACACCACGGTGTATCCTGAGTACTTTTTCTTAAGAATTAAAAAAACAATAAAATATCTTTTTAAAAAAATGAAGGCCTGTTCTTTATCCTTTTAGCTCCAACATGAAATTGATGTTGGACATAAAACTGATGAAAGTACAACTGTGATAAGGTATGACCTATATAATATTTTAAGGAGCATTACTTATATTTTTGGTGATAATAAAAATGAGATATTTACTCAGTCTTAGTTCCTAAGTTCATTAAACATGCTATTTTCAACCCAACTCTTTTTTACTTGCTCTAAAAGTCTGGTGGCAATCTAAGTAATTTTACTGAAACACCATCTGGATTAGTCATATGAAAGTAACATGCAGGTATAGATAATATTACAAAGGCTACTTACTGCTCCATGCAACATCAAAGTTCCTATTGATGTCAACGCCAATGCAGTTACTCTGGGATGCATTAGAACGATTCTTTCTCCAGAAACGATCCTGCTGGACAAAAATCATTTAGGGACTTCAATCTGACCCATAAACATTTCTGTATATTTTCTCTTTGTTTATACTAATTACGAGTGGAATGCATTAATTTTCTGTAGAAAGACAATGCAATGAAAAACTAGTGTGTTGAGTGAGCTTTCCTTTGGTAGCCTGATTCCCCTTCCTTGTTTAGCTGTAACTCTTTGCTATGTAGTTCAGATAAAAGGTTTGTTCAAGTGTTCTGTAAAAGAATGCAGGGAAGAAGAGAGGCATCCTCAGATCCATTAGACCAGAGGTCCCCCACTTTTTGGGCACCAGGGACATGTTCCGTGGAGAGAGGTTTTTCCGTGGGTCAGAGGGGGTATGTTTTTGTGTGCTGCTTGGGGTTTTGCTTGTTTGTGCAGCCCAGTTTCTGGCATGCTGCAGCCTGGTACCGGTCCATGGACCGGGAGTTGGGGACCCCTGCATTAGGCAAATGTCCTTACAAATGGAAAAGACCCCATCTAAGCTTTGGTTCTGTCAAGTTGCCCTGATTAGACTGCTTTCTAACACTTCACAGCTTATCTTGACTTTTGGCCTTAACGTGGTAGAAATTTCAAAGGCATGGCTTGATTAGATTAAAATGTACAATACTTCAAACTCAGAACAAGGCATATAGAACAACAGATTTCCTACTACATTAGAAAAATATCAGGAGCTTTTATATGTCCAAGTGGATTTAAATCTAAGAATGCCTTATTTTTGTCCTTCTGAATTAATTGCTTCTTGATGCAGTCCTTGGCGATCTTAAAACCTTCCTGCTTCTTGCCTTAGCAGGATCTAATCTTATAAGACTGATATCTAAGATGGTTAGATATGTTTCAATCATGGCAGTAAAACTAATTCATTAGTTTTCCCAATCACGGTTTTATCCACAAATATCCATTTAGCACAATGTTTCTCAACCCTGATAATTTTAAGGCATGTGGACTTCAACTCCCAGAATTCCACAGCCAGCAATGCTGGCTGTGGAATTCTGGGAGTTGAAGTCCACATGCCTTAAAATTGTCAAGGTTGAGAAACACTGAAATTATTTTTAGAAGGTAATTGATTTTAATAAGCACCCATCCTCCCTTTCACTACTAATGTTATATTATAATGAAATATGGGATAGTAATAACAAAGTTGGAAGACCTTGGAGGTCATCTAGTCCAACCCCCTGCATCTTGAAAAACCAGCAACCAATGCATCTCATGAAGCAGATATGTGTCCTTTTAGGAACACCCACAACCGCTCACGTGCTGCATATAATTTTCTTTTTCTCCACTAGTCTCTTTGATTTTGGCCGGAAGCTGGTTGAATTATATCTGAAGCAAATATATATAATTTAAAAGAGATATTGAACTAAGCTGAATCTGGTGGCTTGGAGATATTACTGTTTTATGATAGATAGATAGATAGATAGATAGATAGATAGATAGATAGATAGATAGATAGATAGATAGATATAGAGATAAATGGATATAGATAGATATTACTGTATTGCTACTAATTTTGATATATTATAACATTATACATATCTTTTGTTATGCTTATCTGCTCCTTGCTGCAGAGATATTTGCAATCATTTCTACTTTCTATTAATTTTGTTTTGTTGTTTTCAATAGCTATTTTTATTCTTATTAGCAAATGTAAGATGATTCATGCAGTTGGATTGGATATAAACTCAGAGTAGTTTATAGAAATGAATGGTTTATATTAATTATAACTAACTTTTCCCAACTCATTTCAGTAGACTGTTCTACTTTGGAACCAATGAATACACTGAATATTTTTAGTATGCAAAATTTCTATTGTATTCAGAACTGAAATATCATCAAAGGATATTTCACTTTGATGCCTTCACTTCATAATGGGAGAAAATTCTGAATTCATAGTTAAAGTGGTCTCCAAAATTATAAAATGGGGAGGAGGGTCCTATGAAGTCTGGGGTCCCAGATCCCATTCCCCATATATGAAACAAAGCTGGATATCCATTGATCTAGGGCATTAAAAATGTGCCAGAAGGCCAGTAGGACTTAAAATCTTACAGATTTTCAACTCCCCAAGCTTTGTGAAATTATGGGTCATCAGCTTTTGAAATGATGACCCATAAGAAGGCAAGAGAGAGGACTTCTGATGTATGCTTTTTTGCCTCTCAGAATAAAAGCTGATTTTTAACTGATGGTTTGGGAGTGCTGGTTCAAGGAACATGGCTTAGGTACTAAACATAGATTATGCTGTTAAAAAGTATGAATGATACCTGTGTCCAGCTCCAGACATAGCCATCTACATTGACTATAGGAACAATGTAGAAATTCATGTTATCCAGTATATATGTCATGTCCCTGTCTTTTCCATAGGTGCTGATGGCCTGAAATTTAGAAAACATAACTTTTTTTTAGAAAAAAATTTTTTCTCTGTGATCCTGTATACTCAAAATTTAGGCTCAGTTGGTCTTATAAATAAAGTATATCTAGAACTGTAGCATTTTTCATCACACTATATAACATTATAGAATCTATTTTCCATATTATTCATGATGGACTGATTTGAGAATACAGAAACATGATTCACATTTCTATTTGTTTAGTGGGATACAAGAGCTTTGATCTTTGGAGTTATAGAGCGTGCAAAGACCACAAGATCAAAGATCAAAGCCAATTTGGTCTAGTGATTAAGGCACCAGACTAGAAAGCAAGAGATTGTGAGTTTAATTCCCACCTTAACCATGAAAGTCAGCTGGGTGACCTTGGGCCAGTCACTCTCTTTCAGCCCAACTACCTTACAGGGTTAATGTTGTGGGGAAAATAGGAGAAGGAAGAAGCATTAGGTATGTTTGCTGCTTTGAGTTATTGTAAAAATAATAATGGTGGCTATAACTAACTAACTAACTAACTAACTAGCTAACTAACTAACAACAAACAAACAAACAAATAAATACAATTATGAATGAGTAAGAACTAGGGAAGCTAGAAGTTGTTTCAACACATTTGGAGGACAGTTAACAAATGAGACAAAAAAAAATCCTTGTTAATTAACCTCTTTCACAAACCACTGACAAAAGGCAGGAGAAATCCACTCTCGTGCATGAACACCACAATCCATAAAGATGGCCTTTCCCTCTTCATTTTTCTTTCCAATCTGTTTTGAAAAAGTAAAAAAAAGAGATTTTTAAGAAAGTACACTTCAATACCATACTATTCCTTACAGATGGATCCATTCTATTCTGCCACCTTCACTTTTAAATAGCTTTGCTAATAAGAAAAAGTAGTTTCTAAGAGACTCATTCTAATTCTTGTATGTAGAAATGTATATGCAAGTCATTTTTTTCATTGTTGTTGTCTCATTGAAAGAGTAGGATGACTGTATTGTTGGGTTGTCATGTCATGCTTATTATATTGAGCAAAATGACATAATAAGCCAAAGATGGATAACCTTAAGCCTCAGGGCAGCTGTGATCTTGAAAGATTTCCAGAAGTTACTGCTCATTGGTAATGTTCAATGTGATAGAAACAGAATGTTTATATATATATATGGAAACAACTGTATTATATATATTTAATTAATTTCAATTTTATGTGTTGTAAATGAAATGAAAGCAAATATAATTTTTGTTTTAACAACACCCACTACTCATTCTGACCCCATCTGCTATGTAAAATATAATGAGGTATAGAGTACTTTATTGGACTTCCATTCAGGGAAAAAAAGAGAATGATCTCATGTTCTTGACCATAAACCAACCATGATTTGTTAATCAGATGGCTGCACTAGTGGAGTACTAAACTAAAACTGAACAAATTGCATGGTTGCTTAGCATGACACATAACGTCATGTTGTGGAGAGTTGGAAGAAGAATTCGGATTGAATCAATTATGCTTATTAATACAAATGTATTACTAAATACGTGTATTTTGCTGTATTTTTTCTGCAGCACCTTTAAGAGTAGAATTTAGTGTGTTAATTTGTACCTATTGATGATTAATTGATTATGAAATTAACACATTCAGAGGAGGCAGTATATTCAATGTCTTTAGAGGAGGAAATAGATTCAACACATTTTGTTATCTCTCATGTGATAACAAAGCTTTGGTGCAAAGCTTTGTTATCACATGATAACATGTAGCTTTTCAGAGAATGTGTCTGTAATGTTTTCACACTATGAAAGATACCCACTTCCTCCTTTCTGGCTATTTTCTCTTTGTCCTTGGCTATTTTCTCTCATTAGCTGTAAAAAAATTCTTCCTTCATTTGGGATTTTCTGCTAGCGTAGATGCATGGCTGAAATACTAGATCAACATTCTATATAAGAAAATGTGACTTTGAGACTTTTGCTGTTGGCTCTTCTGAATGCAACAGACCAGTGACTCACTGTAACCTGCTAGCTTTAGAACTAATCAAACAATTGTTTGAATCCTCCCCAGATATGGGTGGTGAATTTGGGTGTGTGTGAGAGAGTTTTTCAACACAGTTTCATCTGTTCTTTGCTTATTTTCCTGAAAAGGTTTTCATACCTGAAGAAGGAATATGGGTCGATTTTCAAATGTCTTTCCAATCTGGATACGGGAAACCAATGTTGAGTTGCTTTTTGCAATTCTGGCAGTCCAATCAGAAATCTGGGTAAAAGAAAAATAAGGGTTGCTGGAAAACAAATTGATGAAAAGATCTACAGCCCATGAAATTAAATGATTTTTTTTTTTTTAAGTTGGACAGTGTGCTGCCAGACTCTTGTTCTTTTTGGTATCACTGATTAACATAGTTCTCTTCCTATAAGTTGAGTAAGATGATTTTCTAATTGTAGATAAGGCATATGATACCAGGTCATTAAATAACAACTGATCTCATACCTGTTACCATAACCTTCCCATTTTAATGTCTTTCAGCTTTGTGATACTACAAATCTCCAATGATATACTGGCCAGAATTTGGAGAAATGTGATCTTAATTTAGCTGAGGGATGCTGAAATCAGGAAGACTAGTCTAGTATCTGCTGAAGGAACCCATATTCATTAAACTTCTGGTTATCCACTTAAGGTAAAAAAATATACCTGTCTTATCTTTAAATCTGATTTGTACAAATACGTGAGTAATAGTCCCAAAGGTACTTTTCCAAAAGGCAACTGGACTTGGTTTTTTACTTGAAAACTTTTTACTTGTCATCCAAGAAGCTTCTTCAGTTCTGACAAAATTAAGTGATACTTTTTTACACCATAGAAATAAAAACACTATTATCTATTGCTGTGGAGCAGTGTTTTTTAGGCAACTTTCTATTTACGTATACTCTTTATTGCTTTTAAAATAACAAAAGGGTGAAAAAACAAAAATAAAAATACACACGTTGTCAAAGAAGAGGAAAAATACCCACATAGAAAGTGCTTTAAAATTAAAAAATACAGCAAGGGAGAAAGAAAAAAATCTATATCATTTTAGCAATAAATAGTTGCAATTTTATAATTAGTAATCTGATGCTATTATTATTCAATTATATTTGAATATATTTCATTATATTTTTCCATACAGAGTCTTCCTTTACAGGCAATCCTATAGCAAGTGTAATTGGCTTCTCAATTCATTGAATGAAAGAGGGCCTACATTTATCTTTCCAATACTGCAATATCAGTCTTTTGTTCATAATAAGGGCACATTTACATTGTTCAGTTATCAAATTCCAGTTACTGGGTAAATAGTTCAAAAGAATATTATTGCCTGAACATTTTGCTTTTGCAAGAGAATTATATTTATAAATTATAGTAAGTTTTGGGAGAAGGAACTTGTCAAGTTTAAGATATGTGGACTTCAAGCTCCCGATGGCTGGGGAATTTTGGGAGTTTAAGCCCACACATCCTAAAGTTGCCAGATTTGTAAAACACTGCTTTAGATGAAGCATCTGGTAAATGCAGTAGAAGAATAGAATCTGTAAAAACATTGACAACTCTGTGAAGAAAAATGGACAATGCGATAATAATGATAGAGGACAATTTCTTCAATTCACGTAGTTGCGGCTGTAGCTTAATCCTTGCATGACATGACTTCCGGTGGTTAAGGCGGTGGAGATGGCGGCTACTTTGTAGCCATCCTCCTGAGATGGTGTTAGATCCGCGGAGCACAGCGTTCATCAGCTGGCCCGCGGCTCGCAATCCTCTTCCCGGGCGAAGGGAAGGGGTAGAGATCGCATGAATAGAGGTAGAACCTCTTAACCTTCCCTGGATTTTTATTTTAGGGGGGTAGAAAGAGTGCTCCCTCGGAGTTCATTGCCTTCTCCGCCTCTCAGCTGTCTTTGTTTCTTCGGAAACAAAGCGAAACGCCGCTACCATCTCCGTATTTAAAGTAACCGTGAGTAATTTTAAACCGGACAGAACTGTTTAAAGGACTTTATTTATAGTTTAGCTTTATTTTATTTTTTTTTTAGTTTACTTAGTTTATTTAGTATGTGCTGATTTTTTTTTATTTTTTGAGCTTTCTTTTTTTTTCTTGCGGGCGGAAAAGTGAGAGTGAAAGTAAAATGGCGTTTTTAAAGTTTTTCTTTTGAAAGACGGACTGGCTGAATTATTGCTTAATACTGTTTTCTTTTTTAAGTTTATTTTATCTTCTGGGAGTTTTCTAAATTGATTCTATTTTATTCTATTTTATTTTATTTTTAATCTTTTGGATTTTTTATTTTTTACTGGTATTTTTATGAAGAAAGGAAGATAAATTAAAATGGCTTCAAAACGACAACCAGCTACTACAGCTCCTAAGGTAATCTCTTCTCCTGTTACTTCTACTGGGCAACAACAACTTAAAATAATACCCTCAGTGCAGCAACCTAAAACTACTCCACCTTCACCTCCCCCATCTGGTACATCAGCACAAGACATTAAAGAAATAATGGTAAATGCTGTGTCACAGTTTAGGGAGGAAATGAAGCAATTGTTGGAACAGAATAAATCTGAAAGTAAGGAAGAAATGAAGCAAGAGATGAAGGAACTTTTAGAACAGAATAATACTATTTTGAGGGATGATATACTTTTAGCTTTATCTGGAGTGGCCTCAGTGGTTGTGAAGCTGGACTCTAGAGTGGAGGAAATTGAAGAAACAGTAGAACTTTTGGATTATAAATTCCAAGATATGGAGAAAAAAGTGGAAGCTTCACAAGATGATATTCTTATGTTCCAGTATAGACAGATGGAATATGCTTTGAGAATAAGAGGCCTGAAAGAAGATAAAACCCAAGACTTGATGGAAATGGTGATTAATGACTTGGCTGTTATTTTGAACATAGATAAAGATGAGTTACGTGGGGAAGTGGAAAGAATTTATAGAGTTAATTCTTGGATTGCAAAACAGAAGAATCTGCCTAGAGATGTGGTGATATATTTTGCTAAGAAGTCTTTGCGAAACCAGATTTTGCAAATTTTCTACAACAAAAGATTCCAGATTGCTGCCCAAGATATTATTATATTAAAGGAAATTCCACCTAAAATTTTAAGAAGCAGAAAAGATTTTGCTTTTTTAGCAAATGAACTTAAAGCAAGACTGATGCCATTTAGATGGGAGATTCCGATAGGTATTGTCCTGAGCCATGCGGGGACACGTTACAGACTTAATACAGTTGCTAAAGCTAAGGATTTTTACAAAACGGTCCTGGGTGCAGGCTCACCTCTGCCCATGATGCACAAAGTCTTGAGTGATAAAGAGATGGAACAGAAACCTGAAGGTACAGGTGTGATGACTGCTGGACAGGTGGTATGGATGTCTCAAGCAGAGGTTAAAGAACAGAGAATGACCCGTGCAGCACATAAACGCAAAGAAAAAGAACAACAGAAAAAAGAAAAAGAAATTAAAGAATCTACTCAGCAAATTGTCTCAATGCCGGTGGGAGGAGCAAGACCCAAAAGCTCTGCAACATACTCTTCAGTAGCAGAATTTGAGGGGATCTTCTCCAGGCTCAAGGCCAAGGGAGATGGCAAAGCTCCTGACCTGGAATGTTAATGGATTAAATATTCCTCAAAAGAGAAAAAAAATCTACCATTATTTAAAGCAACACAACAATGATATTATCTGTTTGCAAGAAACTCATATTACATCTAAAGACCAAAAATACTTAAACAATCCTCGTTTGGGATCTCATTTTGTATCTCCCGCCCCTGGGAAAAAAGGGGGTGTGGTAATCTATGTTAAGAAGAATTTATCTGCTATCCTGTTAGAATCAGATCCTCATGGAAGATATGTTATGCTTGAACTTGGTTTATATGGCAAGAAAATTCTTATTGTGGGGCTGTATGCACCAAACCAGCAACAGGAGCAATTCTACAGGTTGCTACATCAGAAAATAACCTTGTTGGACTATAGATCTGTGATTTTAATGGGAGACTGGAATGGCGTTTTAGATATACAAAAGGATAAAAAAGGCTTTTCTACTTTTTTTAAACAGGCTAAGCTACCTAAAGCCTTCTTTGACATGAAAGAAGATTGGGAATTGAGAGACTATTGGCGTGAACGTAACCAGGAAGAAAGGGACTTTACTTTCTTCTCAGATAGACACCAATCTTTCTCAAGAATTGATTTTTTTTTGATTACAACAGATTTATACAACAGGGTGAAGAATGTAAAAATTTTTCCTAGGACATTGTCTGATCATAGTCCAGTTTGGATGGAACTGTTTGCTGAGAAAGAAGACAGGAGATCCTGGAGGGTGAATGAGAATTTATTTAAACAAGAAAAAAATGTCCATAAACTAAAGGAATGTTTAAAGGAATATTTTGCTTTAAATATGAATAAGGGAACATCAATGTCAATGGTGTGGGATGCAAGTAAAGCTTTTATGCGTGGTATTTTGATAAAAATGAATAACTTGCATAGACAGAAACAGATTCAGAAACGTAAAGATTTAGAAGAGGAGATTAAATTAAAAGAGAAACTTCTAATTTTAAATCCTTTAGATGAAAAGGTGAAAGGAGCTATAAAACTGTTAAAAACACAATTTAACATGTTGATGGCTGATCAAGTTGCAACCAATTTACTATTTATGAAACAAAATACATTTTGTAATGCTAATAAACCAGGGAGATGGTTGGCTTATCAGTTAAGAAAGAAACAGAAACAGAGGAATATAGATAAAATAAATTATAATGGTAAATTGGTTTATCAGAAAGAATTGATTAAGAAATCTTTTTTAGAATATTACCAAAAATTATACAAGAGTACTAATATTCAAACTACAGATAGAAACAATTATTTAGGTAAAGTTAATTTTCCTAAATTAACAGAAGATCAGGAAAAAGAGATTAATGGTTTAATTACTAAGGAAGAAATTGTTACAGCTATTAAACAATTGAAATTGGGCAAAGCGCCGGGTACGGATGGGTTGACATCTATTTATTATAAAACTCTAGTAGAAGAGATGACTCAACCGTTGTGTGAATTGTTTAATAACTTATTACAGGGGTTAGAGATCCCTCCATCTTGGCGTAATGCATTTATATCACTGATTCCAAAAGACAATCAAGATCTTACATTGCCTAAAAATTATAGGCCTATATCTCTTTTAAATGTGGATTATAAAATTTTTGCAAAAATTTTAGCTAATAGGTTTATGGGGATTTTGCAGCAGATTATACATAAGGATCAATCGGGTTTTATAACTGGAAGGTATATGAAAAATAATGTTAGACAAATTATTAACTTATTAGAGTATTTAGAAAAGAATAACCAAGTCTCTGCAGGCTTGATATTTTTGGATGCTGAAAAAGCCTTTGACCAAGTGAACTGGCAGTTTATGTTATGTTTAATTAAGGAGATGAATTTTGGACAAAATATATTACAAGTACTATCTAATATATATCAAAAACAGACTGCTCAACTTATTGTAAATGGGGGTTTGTCAGAGGCTTTTGTAATAGAAAAAGGTACAAGACAGGGATGCCCGTTATCCCCGTTATTGTTTGTTTTAACATTGGAAATATTGTTGATTAAAATTCGGGAGTCTCAAGAAATAAAAGGAATAGAAATTAATAAAAAAGAATATAAATTAAGAGCCTTTGCAGATGACTTGGTTGTTACTTTGTCTCAACCTATTTGTTCGGTGGTAAAATTATTACAATTGATCCAACAATATGGACGTGTTTCTGGTTTTAAAATTAATAATAATAAGACCAAAATATTAGCTAAAAATATGACTAATGGTGATAAACAGGTTCTAGTTAAGTTAACAGACTTTGAAATTGTTGATAAGGTAAAATATTTGGGGGTTACATTATCTGCTTCCAACGCAAAACTGTATAAAAATAATTATGAAAAGTTGTGGACGGAGATACAGAAGGATTTAAAAAATTGGAACAATTTACAGTTATCCCTTATGGGTAGAATTGCAGTTATTAAAATGAATGTCCTGCCAAAGTTTATTTTTCTGTTTCAAATGTTACCTATTTTAAAGAGTGATCGTAATTTAGATGAATGGCAAAAAGGTATTAATAAATTTGTTTGGGCAGGGAAAAAACCAAGGGTGAAACTTAAAATAATGCAAGATTTTCGTGAGAGAGGTGGACTCAAGGTACCAAATATGAAATTGTATTATGATGCTGTAGTACTAACATTGATCAGCGATTGGGTGAATTTAACAAATATAGAAATACTTCATTTGGAAGGTTGGGATTTACTTTTTGGATGGCATGCCTATTTAATATTTAATAAAAAAGTGGATTGGGTTTTTAAGTCTCATATTATAAGAATCTCTTTGCTTAGAGTGTGGAGGAAGTATTATAAATTTGATTTTAAAATACCATTATGGGCTATACCTCGGCATGCCATAGAAGGTATAAGGAAAGGGGTTAATATGGATATGGTTTCTTATGCACAGTTACTTAGATGGGATGGCCAAGACTGGCAGTTAAAATCTTTGGAAGAACTAATACATGAAAATCTAACTTATTCATGGTTCCAATATAGACAAATAGTGGACAGATGGAAGATGGATTGTAAAATGGGCTGGCTTAGAGAAGATGAAACTCTCCTAAAACAAGTAAGAGATCAAAGGCCAACCCATATTAAGAGAGTTTATGGGGTTTTAGTGGAATTGGATTCAGAATCTGAATTAGTTAAAGATTGTATGATTAAATGGGCACAGAATATTGGTGAATCGATTTCAATGGATACTTGGGAACTTATTTGGATAAGAAATGTTAAATTCACACAAGCGCAAAATTTAAGAGAGAATTTTTATAAGATGTTTTATAGATGGCACCTTGATCCAAAGAAAATGTCCATTATGTACTCTAATTTACAGCCGAAATGCTGGAGATGTGGACACTTGGATGCTACTTATTATCATATCTGGTGGACGTGTAAGCATATAAAAGCTTTTTGGATTAAGATATGGTGGAATATTCAGAGAATTTTTAGAAGGAGGGTAAAATTTACTCCGCAATTATTTTTATTAGGTATTGTTACTGATTGTTATGCTAGGGAGGTTATATTGATGCTAAATTTGATTACAGCCGCTAGGCTGTTAATAGGACAATATTGGAAGAAGGAATCCTTGCCTAATTTACAAGAGTGGTTTTATAAAGTTTCGTATTTGGCAGAAATGGCAAAGATTTCGGCTTTTTTAAAGGAGCAATCTCAAGAGAAATTTTTTGCGGTATGGGAAAAATGGATAAATTTTATGCAACATAATTTGGATATGGAAAAATATTATTTAGCCTTTTTATAATTTGTAATGATTGTTTTTTTTTCTTCTTTCTTTCTTTCTTCTTCTGTATTATTATTTATATACTTTTTTATATATGTTTTATTTTTCGTCTATCTCTTTCTTTTTTCTTTTTCTCCCTCTTTTCTCTTTCCCTTTTTTCTTCTTCCCTTTTTTTTATATATATTATTTACTTTAAAGTTTATGTTACGTATATTATTATTATATATATTATTATTATGATTTTTATTATTATTATTAATTATCTTATAAATTGTATACGTTATTTTTTAAAATTTGTTCAATAATCCTATATTCAGTTCTGGGAAGTGAGGGGGGGGGAGGGTGGGGTGGTTTGGGAGGGGGGGGTGGATGTTTATTTGTAAAATTTTTGAAAAAAATTAAATAAATAAAAAAAATCCTTGCATGACATATGCCTAGTACTAAAAAGATACATGTCCAATCCTGTGTGAAAAATTTTTGCATGCATTTTTGATAGATTCCTTAGGTAATAGTCTAAACTAGACTCAGTTTTAGCGACCAAGTGCACTCTTCATGCTTCAGAGGATGTATGTACACCCAAGTGGTAAACTCAAATATAATTACAAACAAGTGCAAATGGTCTAATCTCTCTCTCTCTCTCTTTTTTAGTGCATGGTGTATATAGCCAGGGAAGTCTACAATGCTTTTTACCACAGAGTAGTACTGGCAGCCTAAAATTGCTAGTTCATTTTGTTCATGTATGCACAGTACACAGTACACCACAAGGGGAGAACTAGCTTTGTACCAGCTGACTAGCAAGGTTTGGGGTATGTCAGGTTATCTGGGCTTTCTTCCACCAACTTTGGAAGAATCCAGGCAAGTCTGGTGCTCGCTCCTGCTTCCTCATTATACACTGCTTTATTTTTCCCACTGAAGTGATACCTATTTATCTACTTTCATTTTTATATACTTTTGATCTGCTAAATGGGCAGGAGCTCTGGGAAAATGGCAGGAACTCACTCCACCACATGGTGTCGTGGTGTCAAACTGCTGGAGTGCCAATCATCTCTAGCTGACAAATCCAGCATCATTAAGCCATTGCGCCATGACTCCTCCTTCCCAGTATCTCTGATAAATGGGGATTCTTTCTGCTGAAGATTCGACATTCCTTTGTCGAATGTCATATAAGTTCTGTACCTTGTCCCATTCATTATATTGTTCATAGCTGTGTCCATCGTTCTTGTCACCATCAAGCTGCTTTTCAATGTCTTTTTGTAGGTTGTCAAATAATATTCTACATGATAAAAAATAATCAGAAAATTATACTGAGCCTGAGCTCATTTTATTTCTGCATTTTAGAAGCCAATTGACTCCAAAAGGACTTTGATTGGCTTACATCAAGTTAAAACAATAAAGAAAGCAATGAGGAACAGCAAGAAATCTCCTGCATTCAGACAAATCCACACTAACAAAAATTTCACCTGCAGACTTTGATTTACTTTAGACTGATTTATTGTATATTTATTTAAACATACATTAATTATTCAATGCCTACTGCATGCAGATTTTGTACAACTTTCAAATCATGGGGCCCATCCAACTTAAATCTGATCCTCAAATTGGCAATAGGTTTAGACGTAACAAAACTATTTCATTGCTTTCAGTGGTATTTGAATCATTCATATCTGTTAGAGCAGGCCATATAAATTATTTTTTTAAAGAAGCCACTCTTCAGATATCTTTCATATTAACTTCATGGGAAATTTTGTATGTTGGTCCTGCAGTAACACACCACTCTATCTGGGAATGAACTTTTTTGCACAATCCAGGATGATTGCTTTTTTTCAGTAAGGATGCTACAAGTGAAGAAGAGCAATTTACCATTCCTATCCAAGAGCACTATTTTCTAATAAGGGAGAATTAATTAATTGAAAGACACTGATTCATAAATATATATTACATAGACACATCCCATGTACAATCTCTATACAATTTCAAAAGTACATAACCAAAGACCTGAGAAATAAATAGAGAAGTTTAACTTACTCATAAGGTATGCCATTCTGTTTCAGGAGTCTCTCAACAGTATTACTCTGTGTAGCACTGACATGGAAATCTACTTCCATCTGTTTGACTATATGCAGTGCCGTATCTGGGTACCAAAAATCAACCTGCACAAAAAGAAATGCAAAAAGACTTGTGACTGAATAGAAATGAAAGTTACACCCCAAAAAACTGCTGCTGTTCAACTTCTTTTATCTGATATGAAGAAGTGTGAAGACTAAAACAAGTTCATATGTAATGATTAGTCATAGTTGAATGCTTTGTTTAGACAAAAAGATAAATCAATTTTAATGGATTGATTATGTGTCACAAAGTCCATGTTGACTGTAAATGATCACATACCAATCAATTTTAGTTTTATATAAATACATTGTGTCCTGTTTCAGCCTCTGTTACAACAGCATGAAAGCTCAATTATATGCTAATATATATTTAAAATATTGCTCTTTGTAAAATATACTTTTTTTTAAAAAAATCTGAAAGTCACATATTTAGATATTGAAAACTGAAGAACTTTGTTCTCATATGTTACTCCCTGAATTGGGAATCAGACTGCATAATACAGATTGAATAAAATATATATATCCCTAGCACTGTGATGGTAAGCCTGGCCAAATTTCAGGCTACCTTTTCTCTTCTTGAATGCAATTATGAGAAAGAAACTGAAAGGTTTCATTTCTCGTTTTACTCTAATCATGTTTTGGTTTTGCATTTAAGGCACTCTAAATAATATTTTAATTAAACAATCAAAAATGAAACTATGTCTTATTATAGAAGTGACTTTAAAATTCCATTATGGGCCATACCGTGGCATACGATAGAAGGGATAAAGAGAGGAGTCAAGATGGATAGCGTTTCTTATGCACAATTACTTAGATGGGATGGTAAAAATTGGCAATTAAAATCTTTGGAAGATTTAACACAAGAAAATATTATTTATTCATGGTTTCATTATAGACAAATAGTGGAGAGGTGGAAGATAGATCGTAATGTGGGTTTGCTTAGAGAAGATGAGAATTTGCTAAAACAAATAAAAGATCAAAGACGAACTCATATTAAGAGAATTTATGGGGTGTTAGTAGAATTGGATTCAGAAGCAGAATTAGTTAAAGAATGTATGGTTAAATGGGCACAAAATTTTGATGAACCGGTTCTATTAGATACTTGGGAAATTATTTGGGTGAGGAATGTTAAATTTACACAAGCCCAAAATTTAAGGAAAAATTTTTATAAAATGTTTTATAGATGGCACCTTGATCTACAAAAAATGTCTCGTATGTATCCTGACTTGCAGCCTAAATGTTGGAGACGTGGATGTTTGGATGCTATTTATTATCATATCTGGTGGTCATGTAAAAATATAAAAGCTTTTTGGATTAAGATATGGTGGAATATCCAAAGAATTTTTAGAAGAAGGGTAAAATTTACCCCACAATTGTTTTTGTTAGGTATTGTTTCTGATTGTGATAGTAAAGAGATTATATTGATGTTAAATTTAATTACAGCGGCCAGGCTGTTAGTAGGGCAATGTTGGAAGAAGGAATCTTTGCCTACTTTGCAAGAGTGGTTTCTTAAAGTTTCTTATTTGGCGGAAATGGCAAAGATTTCGGCTTTCTTGAAAGATCAATCGCAAGAGAAGTATATTTTGGTATGGAAAAAATGGATAGATTTCATACAATATAAGTTGGATATAAAAATATTACTTAGTTTTTGAATAATTTATATTTAAAATTTAAGATATTTTATAGACATTTTTTTAATTTTCTTTTTATTTGATTTCTTCTTTTTCTGTTTCTTTTTTCCTTCCTTCTGGTATTTTTTTAATATATATATTGTTGTTAACTATTTTATAATTTGTTTAATTAATGTATTTAGATTTGCTTATGGTTTATATGTGTATTAAGATTTTTCTTAAAAATTTTAATTAAGCCTGTATTCAGCTCTGGGAAGGTCGGGGGAGGGTAGGGGAGGGTTGGGAGGGTTTGGGGAAGGGAATTGTTTTGTAAAACTTAAAAATTTTCAATAAAAAAAATAAAATGAAACTATGTCTTGTAATCATTGTTCCTACTACTATGCTAGATTTGGGATATCTTTTCATTGTAAAGCGAGCTGAAAACTATTTTGGATTTTTTTTTTCTAATGTTAAACGTGTTAGAGTTCAAAATAGGCAGGATCAGAGCTGAAAGTGGGCAGAGTTTCAAAAAAGACATTTTCATCCTAGCATTCTCTTTCTCCCATAGGGGACTGGTGAGAGGCAACAGCTGCTGGAATATGCAATAGTCTTGGTGAAAGTCCCATAAACTAGCAAGGCCACCAGATACCAATATTGTTCCAGAAATGTAGATGAAGCAAAACAGGTTTTGGGGGGTGAGGAGGGAACCTTACTTCTTCTATGCTTGATTGTGTGCTTCTCATGAGCGTTGTTGTGCCTGACAAAGTTGCCTTTACTAAGGAAATAATTTTTAACCTTGCTGTTTAGATCCTTTATTATCTGCTATACAATCAGCCCACCTATGTATTTATTTAGCGTATCATACATGGACTAGCAATTTATATTAACATTTTGCCTAGATTAGTAAAACACAATAAAATGTAAATGTTAAAAAGATCTATGTTCAAATGCCAATCTCTAGGCCATCTAACCATTGAAACACAGCCTTGTTTATATTTTAAAAAATTAAACACTGGACTGGCATATGTTCTCAGCTTAGAGCTAGTCATGTTGTAATTTACAGTTTGATGTGGGGCCCTGCACTCACTCTGAGGAGAGGATACAATGCCCTATTTATACAGAGATTCCTGACAGATGCCGTGTGTCCATTGCTGATGTGATAGTTCAAAGCCTGGTGTCTTTTTTGTGGGGTCACATATGTCTTATGTTTGGGTGTTCAGCAACCCATTTGGCTTTCCTTTGGGAATTGATGTTAAAGTTATTGGGCAGATGTTGTGGTCCACTGAATAATATTTGGGAATAGTTGGGAAGAATCTGGGTGTTTGGACTAAAATGCCAGAGGATCCATGGCAGATTTCATGGAAAGCCAAACGGGTTGGCACAGAGATCCAAAGTGGTCTGGTCATGTTCATAGACAAGGCTGGCTTTTTCTGAAGTTTTATTTTCATTCTACTGCAGGTTTATTATGATGGAAAGCTAAACATCAGTGTTGTTAAAGGCTTCTGGAGGCCATAAAATGGGTTGTAACAATAAGCAGCTTCGAGATTACAGCTTCTCCAGTCCCTCTTAAATCAGCTCAGAATCCTAATGACAATTAATTATTAAATTAAGCCAGGAACAGAACTTTCCAAACAGTCTTATCCTTTTGTGTATTTCTTGGAAGGAAGCCTTGTTTTGAGAATGCATTCTATAGCCAAGTTCTGCCACAGATTCAGCCTTTGATAATGAAAAGACAGAGGGAATCCTTATGGTATTAGATTTATAATGTAATTAGTAATGTAATTTAATTGGAATGAAAGAGTTGGACCCTTTGCTTACTCTTGTTTGGTTCTTATTTGACATTGCATGTTAAAGACCTTGAGTTGCAAGGGATTTTTTTTTTAAATCCACATTATACATAGGCCATAAGGCAGGTCAAAAGAAAGCCCATGAAAAGGCTTTTCATCCTGTTTATATTCTACTTATAAAGCATTCTTTGTTTAGAAGTAAAATCAGGGTTTGCTGAGATATGAAAACAATGAGAAAAGGTCTAAAGCCAGACAAACCTGTTTTCTTATTACATACATTAGATCGCTTTTTAAAGTTTTGACTGTTTTCCTCTTGTAATTTATAAAAGCCATATTGGGCTGAGAAAAGTTTCTGTATGTGAATGAAAATATAGTCCCAGAAGATGGTATTGTGTGGCTGATATTCTCTGGGCTTGGAAGTTAAATAGAGTCAGGCCTGTTTAGTACTTGGATGGCAGACCTCTTAAATTCCTAGGATTGGCCAATATTAAAGTAGGTAGTTGTATAAGCTTTCTAAATAAACAAAAACATCCCAACAGTGGAAAAGCACATTTGTGCTGCTGCAAAAAACAAAACAAAACAAAACAACACAAACTGCACATCCATGAAATCAGCAGGAATCCAACTAAACTTGAAATAGAATTTAAGATAATGTGAATCTTTCAGATTGGCTTTTAATGCCAGTCTGGCATGAATTTAATTCTCTTAAGTACTGTATAAGGAGAGAAAATAAACCACAGGAAATAGTGAGAATATTCATATGGGCAATTGTTAATCCTTGCATCTTCATTCTTACACAGTAATTTTCAGGTAGACATCCAAGTATATTTATTGATGCTTATTACAAAAATAGGTGTTTCATCACCCTTCACTAAAATGCAGTGTAACATTTAGTGGATAATGGTAACATCCACTGCGTCTTCCCGTTTCTCTAATTTTAGAAATTAACTTACTTTTAAATTTGGGGGGCAGAATTTTTCTGTTGAATCATCTAGATGTTTGGAATTTTAAAATATATGATAAATGAAATCTTTGTGGCAGAAAAGAAAAAATGTACAACAATAATAATAAGATATTGCAAACTTGCACACAGGCTTTGGAACTGAGGACAGGTTTTTAACTGAGTTTACCAGGCATTGTTTTTTCCTTTTTTCTTTATCCATTTGTTTATAAATACAAAAAAAGTAGAAAAAAACAAACATAGAAATGCAAAAAAATGTTTTAAAAACAAGATGTTACATTCCTCCATCCTCATATTGAAATAAAAAACAATGAAGAAAGAAAAAAATAACTTAATATATTCTTTCTTTCATTTGCATCCCCAACCACTAACCACAGATTAAATATTTAAACTTTGTATTAAACATTAGTAATTTTGTTAGCCCTAAAAACTATATTCCAGATGTCTAAATCTGCCTTGCTCTGTGATATATTGTATATTGGGGAGCCATTCCTGCTTTAATTAAATTTCAACTGTGGAGATATACTACCATTTTAACAATCCTTTATATATTAAACAATTGGAAGCATTCAAAACAGTTGATTTTCTTCTATCAGGCAAAGAATCTGTATTGCTTGTACATATCCAGGTTTCTGTATATGCAAACAGAAACACACACACACACACAAACACTTTGATAAATAGAAAATATTTTTGAACAGGCATTAATTTTACAAAATTCCTTAAAGGGCACAAAGCATCTGAGTTGCAAATTTTTCTCACCTGTATGAGGTTTGACAAGGATTTCATGACACTTACTTCCTTTTCATTTTGCGGTTTCACACGAAAAACCTTTGCACTTTAGAAGAGAAAGTCAAGCAATGAGCAGCATTTCAAGGCATGGAAACAAACAAAAAAACAACAACCCCAAAATTCCCTTTGATGATGTGGAAAGGCTGTACCTGTCAAATTGTAGAGCAGAAGTGAAAACACAAGTAATGGTCATCACGTCCAGAACCAACAGGGACATCATGGTCCTTTCTCTTTGCTGCCATTCATCTCTGACATTTTTATTCTTCTATTTGATGATCAGATAATATCCACAGAGGATTTCTCTGGACAATGTGAAGTTTTGCTGTTATGTCTGCATTTAGATTTCATGTACATTTACTATGGGTATTGGAATCTTACATTGTGCTTCCCCAAAAATAAGACCTACCCTGAAAATAATCCCTAGCTTGATTTTTGGGGGTGGACCTAATATAAGCCCTACCCCCAAAATAAACCCTAGTTTGGGGCGAGGCCCATGCTTAAAAACCAAGTAGGGTGGGGATGGTGGGATGGAGCTATTCCATACGCCCTGCACCCACTTACCAGCCTCCCATGTCCTAACACCTGCCTCACTCACTGGCCCACTTCTTCTGCAGCTGCTTGTTGCCGCTCACACATGAATGTCACCCCCAGCTTCCATTTTACCATCAGACGCCTTCAGGAAAGGCCTCTGCAGCCGAGAACTAAGCTCCGGACTGACGCAGCTGGTGCCCTTGGAGGCCGGGGGGCACCGCATGCATCAATCCGGAGCTTGGTTCTTGGCTGCAAAGGCCTTTCCTGAAGTCCTATGATGGCAAAATGGAGGGTGGGGGTGCTGCATCGTCAATCCGGAGCTTCATTCTCAGCTGCAGAGCCTGGGGGCGATGCGCATGAGTGGCGGCAAGCAGCCGCAGAAGAAATGGTCTGGCTGAGCAGGGCTGTTGGTGCCACCACTGCAAGGTGGAAAAGACACCCCCCAAAAATAACACCTGGTGCCTCTTTTGGAGGCAAAAAAAAAAAAAGACCAGGTCTTATTTTCAGGGAACCACTGTAATACGTATTAGCACCTTTAAGAATGTTCAGAAAATGACTCTCACAATGATATACAGTATTTGATAAATGAGAAAACATGTCCAGGGACACAGAATGCATTTGTACTTGTGTATTTGTATACTTGAGAATACAAGTCTGAGAATTCTCTTTGAGGTTAGCCTTAATACATCCAGAGGTCCTCACAGTTTGGGAAAGATTTGGTTTCATTGTCATGCCCATTTGAATATATTTATACTTTTGCCTTTACTTTGTTATTATAAAACAATATATGCACTTTTACATCTCCACCTTTGTATAGCCTCTATGGCTGTCCCATCCAGATCTGAATTCCCCCCCTGTGCCGCAATCAAATTTTATTGATTAGATTTATATCACGCCTTTGTATAGGAGCTGAAATATCATACACTACAGTCTTTCCATCTAATCTTCTTCACAGCAACAACTCTTCTAAGATAGTTTGGACAAAAAAGGGTAAGACATCTTTTATTTGGATTTAATGGAAGCATGGAAAATTAGAGGAGCTGCAGGTGATTAAAGGATTCATTGTTCAGAGTAAAACAGGCTACTTCATCATACTTCTGGACCATATTGCACCTGAGATAAGTACCAGAAGAATGTGTGTGTTTCAGGTTAAAATATGTTACGTTTATAGATAACTTTTAAGTTAATGAAGATACAGTACCTGCGACACATTTGTCTAGATCATGAGTGTCCTACCTTTTGGCTTGCCAAGGCTGCACTGAGGGAAGTTGCATATGAAATATATAATACAGTTAATGTATATAAATCACATAATAATGTTAAAAGTTTAACATTAAAAATTGGGCTGCATTACTAGCTGTCCAGGACTGCATGCAATCCATGGACCATGGGTTATTACAGACAAATGTAATATAGTTCAATAGATGCCATGGGTCAATGCCAATTACTCTGGCTTTTATAAGATAAACAATGAACTATATAATCCATGGTTTGTATTACTGTTTAGAGTACAGAGAAAATTCTGTGAGAAGCTGTCTTTTCAGGAAAATAACCCATATTTAACTGGGAGTGACATGTTTCACAAGAGAGAGAGAGAGAGAGAGAGAGAGAGAGAGAGAGAGAGAGAGAGAGAGAGAGAGAGAGAGAGAGAGAGAGAGAGAGAGAGAGAGTCTTTCCTTAAAAACAGCTATTTTTGTTGATTTTTGTTCCTTTTATATAACTATAAGAAAGTAAGGTTTATTTGGTTTATGAGTGTAGCTAAATGAAGTTAAACTGCAGACTTCTAATTCCCTACCTGTTTTTCACTTTTTAGAATAATTGTCCTTCCTTTAATTTCCTTCTCCCATGTGGATTTCTTGCTTCTGGGCTGCACTTATTCAGAGTACAGGCCAGGAAGAATTTAATTCTCCTGGGTAAACTAACCATGGCATGGAACATGATCTCATGGTGCTATTTTTATTTACATACCTTTAGGATCAGTGTTGTGCAATCAAGTATTTTTTGTTATATACTAGCAGACTGAAGTTTTTAAGGAAATATTTTATTTTTAACTGGTTGTTATCAACCTTTATCCACATATTTTTGAACTGACTTATTTGCTGGGCATTTTCCAATAGTTTCTCATAGTGAGGACTTCTAAACTTCAAGATGCCTTTAGTTATGACTTCTTACCCAGCATATAGGAATTGGATGCAGAACGAGTTGTCTTTTGACTAAGCACCTGCTGTGCCTTTTGACCTGATTCAACATAATCCTGTTCTCTTTCATAGTTTTTAAACTGTTTATAACTTTAAACATCTACTTTTACAGGCTTTTTACTAAATTGCTGTTCTTTTAATGGTTTTCAATGCATTGGAAACAGTTTTTAATTGTATTGTTTGCTTTTCTGCTTTGGGGTTGTTTTTAATGACAAAAGTGGGTAAACTTTTAAACAAACAAATAAAAGAGAAGTTCAGATGTTTTGGATGATAATTCCAAGTAGCCTCAGCCAATATAATCAATGTTGAGTCCTCGAGTCAATGGCGAAAGAAGAGCACACATTCTGATAGTTGTAACAGCCTTTATTCTCTTCATCTCTTCACAACTCAGAGGCTCGCAGCCCTGTTTGCCTCTAAATAGAATCCCCGGGCAAAAAAGGTAACAAAGAATGGCGTGCTTTCGCGCCTTGCACATGCGCACAGGCTGGCACCACTCAGTCTGGTCCCAGGCAGCATGCAACAGCCTGGGACCATTGCAACGTCCCGAGCCTGCTTTTGCAGGCTCAGGACACAACACCCCTTTCCCCCTGGATGAAACTTAATGAACCTATATAGATAGGTATACACGACCTTCAAATGGACGTGGTGTGCTATCCCTTATGGAACCACACAACTGTTGCAGCTACTTACTAGCCACTCTATAACATGGTACTTCCAGGTATTTGGGAGATCTTTTAACCCTCTGTGACCTCCTCAGATTTTGAGAACTCCCTTGACCATCCTGTGCAGTGATTGTAGTGGAGTTGCCTCCTCTTTTAAGCTCTGGTGGTCCCTGTGACCTGGGTTCTGTTGCCTGGTCTGCTTGCTTGACCAGGGCTCGTCAGACCAAGACTTTGCTCCCTACTGTACCTGGTTTATCTGCCTAACTGTAGGCTATTGGGCCCCTCTATGTTCCCACCAGTATTTGGTGATTCAGTGGTATTCTCCAAGTCCACAATGGACCTATCAAGGGAACGCATCCCTTCACTCCCAAGCCCCGTAACTGGGTTGCCTAGTGTTTCTGCGGTGCCCCAGTACTCGGTTGCCCCCCATTCCATGCCGGAGGTACCAGAATCAGGATTTGCCTCTCTGACTACCTCCCTGTATGCAGACTTCCTTTTGGGAGCAGTAGCAGCATTGGGCCAGCTTGTTTGTTTGGATGCCAGTTCTCTTGTGTTATTTGGGTTGTTTGGATGCTCCCGGTTATTCTCCCTGCTTGGAGTGCTGTAGTGAGGTTGTGAATAATGAGTATGCCCCCTGGGTGACTCCCTGGCTGGAGTAAGTACTGGTGCCTGTATTGTTCCTTGTTCCCCTGAATTCCTGTTAGGGACACTTACGGAACCTTGGGAAAGGCCTTCCTCCGTCTCTCCATTTGCCCCTGATTGCCGCCAACACCCTTCTCTTTGCCCACAGTGGTCCCCCTCCCCGCGGAGAAAACCCAGGAGTTGAAGAGGAAGAGTCCAGTCTCGTACGCAGCTGATCGATATGCCGCCGAAGGACACGATCGGCATCCAGGGAAACCTCGTAGGACAAGGGAGCAGTGACCTTGCATACTACCGCCGGAACCCACAGGTGACTGGGCCCATAGTTCCGGGTCCATACTGGGGCACCCATTTGCAGACACCTTGGTGCCCTTGGTTGGGAGACCCGAGGAGCCACCCTGTCCAGATGCAGCCTGTCAAGTTTGGTGATCAGTCTGCGCCCCCAGCGAAGTTCTACTGGGCTCTTCCCAGTGGAAGTAGAAGGTGTGGTGCGGTAAGCAAGAAGAAAATCTGCCAATCTGTGATGCCAGTCCCCGTAAGTCAGTTTCTTGAGAGCATCCTTGGTGATGCGAACCGTCCATTCAATGATACTGTTGGTGGAAAGGTGGAAGGGCGCTGAAGTCGCATGACGACTCATGTTGGCCTGCAGAAAAGCCTGAAACTCGGAAGAAGTGAATTGAGGACCATTGTCTGAAACCAGAACATCTGGAAGGCCATGAGCAGCAAAAATCTCTCTTAGTACTTGAATGATCTTGGCAGCAGTAGTGGAAGAGACAGGAACAACCTCAAGCCACTTTGAATGGCTGTCAACAAGGACCAAGAAGAATTGTCCCTGAAAGGGCCCAGCGTAATCCACATGCACCCTAGACAAGGTGACTGTGTCTCCTCCCATCTATGCACAGGAGCCTGAGGCATTTCAGTGCGTGAACACTGGCACAAGTGGCATCCATGCACTTGGGCCTCTATTTCCCTGTCTAATCCTGACCACCATAAATGGCTGCACGCGAGCACTTTTATCCTGACAATGCCAGGATGACCCTCATGGAGAGAGGCCAAGACTCTAGGTCTCAATGAAGTAGGAATAACTACTCTGCTGCCCCAAAACAGGCAACCCTGAAAAGTGGATAACTCAAGCTTTTTGAGCTAGAAGCTTTGGAACTCAGTACTTGGACAACTCTCAGGCCATCCAGACAAGACCCATGAAAGCACACAAGTAAGCATGAGATCTGTGGCTGATTCAGCAGCCACATCCCTGGCATTTAGGGGAGAC